AGGGGCATGAAAATCAACTACAATGTATATTGAGAAGTAAAATAAAATTAAAAAAATAAAAACACCAACAGCATCTATCTTTTTCCACCTTACTAACAATGACTCAATAGTATGCATATACTTAAATATTGATTTCTATATTCTTATCGTGCATTTAATCTCTGACCTAAAACCTAATTTGTTTGATCATTACCGCTTTTACACATCTGAGTCCCTCATGGGTAAGAGAAGGACATTCAACCAGTCAGTTCAGCAGTTAGGGACATGACCACAAGATGGTAGTGCACCTCTGCTGATGCAGAACATGTGGAGGGTGCTTTTAAGTGACTTCCGAATGAACAGACTTATGGCAGAAGCACAGCCTTTTTCTTATTGGCTGGGTAAACAATGTGAAAACCTCAATGATTGTTAGAAAAAAGAGGACGGGACAAACTGATAATAGAAGTAGCTCTCCTTGCTGCAGATTGCAGATCTATGACTGACCCTAATTTGGAAGGACGATGAAGGCATCCATTCAAGCTTTATTCATGTTCTTGTGGCTGCAGCTGGTCTGTGAGTTGAGGGTTTTTAGCAAATAGAGTATATTAGTGGATATTCTTTAGAAGTTCAATGAAGAGACTAGTTTTTTCAAGTTTCCTCTAGTTATTAAAGGAAAAGAAAATTCTAGATAGTATGACCTGACAACCCTTCTATTTTCTCTGACTTTTTCTCTCTGCATAGGGGTGATCCGAGGAGAGAATGTGGAGCAGAGTCCTTCTACCCTGAGTGCCCAGGAGGGAGACAGAGCTGTTATCAACTGTACTTATTCAGACAGTGCCTCATCCTACTTTCCTTGGTATAAACAAGAACTTGGAAAGGGTCCTCAGTTCATTATAGACATTCGCTCAAATATGGACAAAAAGCTAGACCGAAGACTCGCCGTTTTATTGAATAAGAAGGACAAACATCTCTCCTTGCACATTTCAGCCACCCAACCTGGAGACTCAGCTATTTACTTCTGTGCAGCGAGCACACATTGCTTTCCAGGCACCTGCAGCCTGTACCCAAACCTACAGCTGGGGCTGAAGCCCCATCACCTTTCCTCTGGCACAGACCTTCAAGTACAGCATTAGTCATATTGTTTGTTTGCAAGTGGAAACTGACACTAGACATCAAAAGGGTATAATGAGAAGGTTATATTCAAGGTGATTCAAAAAGAGTTAGACAGTTTTATTGGTTGATTGTTGATTGATTCTTAAAGAGAATTAGTGATGTTTCATTTTGAAGTCCAGGCTTTGCAGATGACTTTACATTTGCTGTACATGCTCCCATCCTATAAATAAACCCTTAGAATCAGTATCACAATCCCTATTATAAACGGGATTTAAACTCTTATCTTTCAAAAGTTGCATTTGTTATTTTTCTGTTTGTAAAACTTTACATGCCAAATATAGAAAATATGCAAAATATTAAAATATGAAGTATTCTATACCTGGGTAATTTATTGATAATATTTGGTTTAATCTCTTTACAAATTATTATTATAATTAGGATCCTAATTTTTTTCACTTGATATTATATCTTGAATTGAGCCTTCTTCATTTCATCAAATTGTCTCCTCTTTTTAATAGTCCCATGGGAGGTTTTTTATGTTACAGTTTTATTTTTATTTTCTTCCTCTCTACATTTGTGGTAAAATTTGACAGCTCTCTCTACCTGCTCTGATCACTTTCTTGTTGATAAAATGTCATCTGGATTTTCCTTTGTGATGGTATATGTTGTTTGTGTTTGAGGGAAATTAGGAAAGAAAGATATATGAGAATGTGAGCTTCAAATTAGACATATAAATCTATTCTTCTATTTCAAAAATTTGTTATTCTTGGTTCATATTTACTCTCTCATAGAATATAGAAGGGAGGGTTGTGTTTTTTAATCATTGCTTTATATGCAATATTTAGCACAAGCTTTCTCACAAGAAAATAATGAGTAGATGTTTGTTAAAGAAAAAAAAGTGAATCGTGCTATATATTCCAAATTCATATTTAGGATTTGTGGGCCGGCCCGGTGGCGCACTGGTACAGTGCGCCGCTTGGGAGCACGGCGGCGC